GGGCTGATACAGTCCCAGCATCCTTTAATAGTGGAACAAGAATTCAGACTGACAAAAATAAGTGCAGCTGCCATTTCATTACTCTTCAGAAATCACCTGTTATTCTTGTAACAATGACTATAAGCTATGGTAACTAAAAGGCATCACATGAGTTTTCTCAATTGACTGCTCCTTGGTGAAGCAGCCAGAACGAACACAGTGGTGCCGGGCTTGGTCCCTTTCAGGGCCCCTAACAGGCCCCTGTCATTTGAGCCCTGCTCAGCAGCTGGGCAGTGTGCGACCCTGGGCCCTGGCACTAGTGGATCCTGGCTCAACCCTGCCATGCCCTGCCCACCACAATGAAGAGGTCTGCACTTTGCTTCTGTGGACAGGAAACTGAATCCATCCACCAGTTTTATAATTCATCTGTTTCCATTGCCTTTGGTCCTTTCCAGGAAACAAGAGTGAAAGACATTCCTCAGGCTGCATCACTCCCTGCCCCTCGGCCTGGTCTTAGGCTGTTTTTCAATCCTTAGTGAACAAATCTGAATCTGTGAGAATTCTCAACATTGTTAAGTTAATCTACACTTTTCATAGGTTTATTTATGTTTTAAAGTAATTAATAGTATTTGTTATATACAGTGAACAATTTTTCCACAATAATGTTCTACAAAGTTTCAGAAGTTGTAACACAAAAGATTTAATAAAAGCACAGTTTGTTATTAATATTATCAATACAGTACTGGGATAAGATACATATTTGTTAAAAAATCTGTATCTGATATAGACATGTAACACAAAATGCTAAGCACAATGAACATTAACATACATGTCAAATAGAAATTTTTTTAAATGAAAGACAATCTCACAAAGATTTGATAATTTAAAAATTATTTTTAAATGAGAATCGTGTTTTGTTTTGTTTTGTTTTGTTTTGTTTTGATTTGATTTGAGACAGGGCCTAACTACATAGTCCAGGCTGGTGTTGAACTCACTATGTAACCCAGGCGGGCCTCAAACTTGCAGCAATCCTCCTGTCTCGGCCTCCTGAATACTGGGATTATGAGCATGCACCACCATACCTGGCTAAATGAGATTTTCAAACACAAAGTATTAAATTCTTATATCTGAGAGACTTTATTTTTGTATCATGACAAATACCCAGACATAGAGAACTCTCTTATTCTTTTGCATAGATGTGGATGGGATCTCCAAATTGGATATTAGGGCACATCTTGCTTCATTTAAGCTCACTTTTTAACAACAAAAATATTTTATATGTTGCCCTGGTTTTGGGCTTGCCATTAAAGTCAGTTATCAGTTTGTGAATTCAGATTATAGGTCACTTTCTATAGTCATTTAATAGTGACTTTATAGGTCACTTTTAATTTTATGCTGGAGTGTTCCACTGCCACATTTTTATCCTCACTGGAGCCTATTCTGTCACAGTTATTTTTTACTTGTACACATTAGCAGTAATAATGATTATATCTAAGCACTCACCCCAGCTCATTTGCACATAACTGCAGCCTACAGCAATCCCAAACACCAGAAACCCTCCAGGAGTACTACCCGACACAGTGTTTGAAGACTGAATTCTGGGTAGCCAGCCAGGCAAACAGCACCACACAGGCTGACAGAGGAACTGTGAGGGTCAGATTTACATGGCAGTGGGGACTTAGTTCTCACAACACCATTCTGTGGACTCAGACAAGCTTTACCGTGTGAACAATCGTAGGAAAGCTTTGCTTACAGAGTGACTCACCATCAAAGCAGACATGGCTGGAAGCCAGGGGGCCACATGCAAGGCCACAGGGTGACTCACAGGGACGCCTGCTCACTCCCTGGAATCAGCCACCTCAACCTCCCACCCCCTCGGCTCCATCTCAGTTCCAACCGGTTCCATCTCGGTCTGTGGTTCCTTCAGATTGCTCATCTCCACCGTGATGGTAAACATGAGGCACCCAAATACAAGCCCCCCCCCCCCCGCCAACTTCCTGATTTTCCCCTGCATTGGGGAGCTGGCATAAAACTGAGGAAGCAACCTCTGAGGTACCCTTCCCTCAGGCACCTCCCTGAGCCTTCTCACCCTCGTCCATGACACCCCCTCCAGGCTTTTCCCTGACCTCCCCCCATCCTACAAGTGGAGGCGGGCTTCCTTCTCAGCACTAGGACCAGACCAGACCAGACCGGACCGGACAGGACCGCCACCCCTCTCTGCTGCCACCCACCAGAACTGCTTTCTCAAAGCCTGCCCCGCTCTTCCTACCAGGCACTGACCTCTCCTCTTAAGTCAGGGTGCTTTTCAAGGTCTGCGTTCAGGCCCTCTCACCCGGACACGCTCTTCCCAGTTCTAGGGCGCTCGGGCCACAACCCTGATTTCTAACCCCGACCGCTTCATGCTCTATGGAAGAATTTCTGCGGGTCTCATGAACACCTTTCCTTGGAAACAGCCCGAGTGCTGGATTGAGGTCCGTGTCACAAGCTCCCCTGGCTGCACTTCCCTTCCACGCTCAGCGGGGCGCAGTCCCAGTCTGCGTGCACCTTCAGGCACTCAGGCCTCACGGCCGCCCCCGTGCTGCGCCCCCATGTGCGCCCGCTGCCTTCGCACCTGAGCCTGCGTGCTCTTCTCTCCACCCTGCGGCCCTCCTTTCACCCAGCGAAGACTCAGCGTCTTGGGCCGACTCGTCCCTAACAGGTTCACATGGGGACAGAAGTGGAGCGCCCCCCCCCCCCACCTCAGAGCCCAGCCTCATTCAGAAATAAAGACTGTTGCAGAAGAAACTGCTTCCTGTGAGTTCACAAACTCACCCAAGACGCCTGGGTCCTTGTGACAAGGTGCCATCCACGCACAGACGCCACTCAGAGGCCTCACTGCCGAGGAGCCGCTCCTGCTTTTGGAAGGCACTGACCTTGTGGACACTCCAGACTTCTAGCCCGGTAACCGAGAAGTAGCCATTTCTGCTGCTTATAGCACTCAGCGTGCCACACATGTTCCAGCAGCCCTAGCAAACTAATGCGAGTCACAGTTCAGCTCTTAGCTCAAACATATTTCTTCCAGGAAGTCTTCCCTGATTTCCCCGTATGAACTCATTTATATGCCATCACAGCACTCTTTGCTTTTCCTTAATGTCATTTAACACATTGGTCTGTAGGGTTAATTACTAATATTTAGCCCTCACTAGTCTGTAAAGATCAGCCCAGACACTTAATTGCTTCTCCCTGCTTTCCTGTCTGAAGCACTGATCACCAGCTAAACTGACTGTTACTAAGTATACTTGTTTACTGTTTGTTTTCTTCACTACCCAGCGGGAGCCCCAGTCCCAGAGCAATGCTTCACACAGGGGTAGCTAGTCATGCAGAAACAGGAATTATATGGTATATGTCGAATGAATGAATGAATGAGCTTACTTAATAATGACGGAGATTTCATTAAAAGAAGTTTATCACCTTAGGATGAAAACCATGTAAAATAGGATGAAAACCATGTTAAAAACTGGAGCTTTTAATCCTCTGTTTGCTAAAAGAAGTCTTTAACAGTCGTGATACACTATTCATCAGTTTACTTTTGCTTTCCAGTTCATTATTTAATATTCAGGAATATATGCCAACAAAACAGATTGAAAGGCACAGCTCCCAGCTATGAGTAATCTCAAAATGATTTAAAAATTCATGGAATAAAGACGTAAAACTTTATTACTTTCTTGGTTAAGTTTCTGCTCTCAAACATTAAAACAGAAAAGGATTAAAAGAAGGTTTTTAAGATAATAAAAACAAAGTGTCTTCCTCTGAACATTCTGCATTGCCGAAGTAATACTAGGAAGTCAGAATTTTTTTTCTTTTTAAGAGGCAGAAAATTTATTAGAGAAAAGGAATGGGGAATAAGAATAGATCCTGAGAGACATGAGGGGTACCAAATAGATTGCCAAAATTTTTTGGTAAGTATTTTCCTCCATTATTCTGGTCCACAATGGATACTTCCTTCCTGTTTCTTATAGCTTTTCCCTTGAAGTACAATAGCTGTAATGATATTCTCTGACTATGGGAAAAAGTGCCACATAGGAATGATAAGCCAATGAAGAATTTCTATTTGGAAGAAAAACAGTATCACAAAAGCCAGAAGACCCTATCCTCAGTGCTACTGTTTGCATTCTGTCACCTTTCATCAGAAAGTCTGAAAGAGCGCCTTCTAAACGAAGTCAGGAAATGGCAGAAAAGCACTTACTGCCAAAGAGCAGATTCACCTGTCCCCCATCAGCTCCGCACACGAGCCACACCAACTCCTCACTTTTAAAGGGTTAACGCCAACCTGTTTAACAGAAGTGTGCTTCAGTTTTGAGGGCTTTTCTTTCTTCATTTTTAACTTAAAATTTCTTCACCTCAAAACCATCATACCACCTTTTCCCAAAATATGTCACACCAGGAAATACAAAACAGACATCACCCAAATGACTCTCAGCAGGGAAAAAAGTCTTTTACTTCTTAAAGTAAATGTATTTACTTCTTTAAAAGTTTATTTTTAAGATTAAAATTAAAAAAAAATCTCAAAAGACTTTCAACAGTTTAAAAAAAATACCACAAACACACTACCTGCTACTCAAGATAAAGTTGTCCCTTAAAACAATATACATCAAAATTTTAAAATAGTTTTAATAAAAATTACATTGCTATTGCTTTTCAGCCTTTTGGCTAAAATCAAGTGTAAAAATCACATTGCTAATTTTTAGGAAAATTTAGTTATTCTCAGTTTGTAAGAGAAAATAGAAACTATCTGACCTCTAATTTGTTATCCATTAAAAAAATATCCTGATAAAAACACTGAAAAACTCAAAAGCTTCCATTATTTTGGACATTCCAATTTTAGCATTTTTATACTGCTATTCTTTCAGCATTACTTGCTCCAGAAAACAAATCTATTTCTATTGAAGATACAGTAAAAATGTTCAAGAAAACCTTAAAATTGTATTTTTTTTTCTTAAAATTGGCTTGTGCAACACATGAAAGAACACAGAAGTCTCAACCTTTTAAAAGATGCTTTGTCAGGCTGAGGGTGTAGCTCAGTGGTAGAATGTTGGTCCTGAGTTTGATCCTCAGCCCTGAAAAAAGAAGGAAAAAGGCTCTATCAGCACAATGTAGGCCAGATTCGCGCTGTCTCACTCACCCCCACGTGACAGGCTCATGTCTGTAGTTCAGGAGATGTTCCTTACACTGGCTAGCATATCTGAAACTCACGGCACGCCTGACTCGCCTCTAGGCACTCATCCCTTGACGTAACAAAACATAATTCCTTCCATGATTCTAGTGAAAACCCACATTGGACTGGAAAGAAGTCAAATTTTGCCCACACAGAGCCAGGCTATGCTATCTCGGAAGTTTTACAACGTTCAATTATCTCCTAGAAACAGTCTTACCAAACAAGAGTATGAAAAGTTAACACACCAGCCACTGCTGACAGGCAGATCCATTTGTAATCTGCACATCCACCCGAAGTCTTGGAACCCACAGCCAATGTCTCCTGCGCTTCTAGCTGTGGGCCTGCAGCACCCCAACTTCACCCTGGGTCTCAGGGACACCCGTGGCCCTAGCTGCAGCGTCTCTCCGACCCTACTCCAAATGCTACAGTGAGACAACAGATCTGCCGCTACTCTCAGACAGCAGTATTTTCAACAAAGAAAAATTAAAAACAATGTAATATTTATATAAATTATCTCATTTAGGAAACTACTATGCTTGAAACTAAGATAGGTACTTTGAAATACTAGTGTGTGAGTAATGGAGAATATTCTGACAAATTTCTTTTCATCGCATCTGCCTGAAAAGTGTCCAGATGGTCTAAGTTATGATGACAAGAACAGTCAATCACAAGGCTGACAAGTAAGCAGGAAAATAAAGGCTTGTACTTCAGGTATTCAAACAAGTATTTCAAAAATGTGCCTGTCTTAACAAGCAGCATTTCAAGGTCTCTGAGGTAACACACACCAGCTTTCAGTTTCCAGTTTCCCATTAATCTGACATCAGGGAAGAAACCTGATAACTTGGTATCTCTGAGACAGAAGCCTCCGCTTCTGTGATTACTTTTTCCACACTCACCATTCTTTTTAGTTGGCTTTTAAAATGTCTCATCTATACACTCTGGGTTTATGCAAAGTGTGCGTTTATCAATAAATCTGCCCTTGCAGAAATGTTTCTGAGATGCATTACACCCAACTGTAAATGCCCATAAGGAATCATTTTGAACAACTAATCCTCTGCCGCTGGGTAAAACAGATTAACTCCAAATGCTCTCTCTCCTGAAACTGGAAGCCAACTTATTTCAGATCACTTGCAGCTACTTTTAACTCCCTCTTGGCAAAAGGTTTTTCTTCCTAGGCTTCCTAGGTCAAAAGACAGCCCCTCTGGTCACCAAGGATTGCCCTGATCACCTTCTTCAAAGGAAATGCAACATAGGAAGGTCTCTCACCACAGGTCTGACATCAAAGTACCCAGGACTTCCTACACCTTTGCAGCTGACAGGGTTAGTCTACACAAGCTCAGGACTTCAAAGAGCTGGCCCCAGGCCAGCCACATTTGCCTTCCATCCAAGTTAATCCTCCTTAAGGAAGAAATGCAGGTCTTATTTACCAGGGCCAGATAAGCTTTGTCTTCCTATAGTCATGGAGCTTTAACTGAAAATACATTTGAGCCTGTGCTGAGTTTTCAGTGTATTACAAGGCAGAGTAAACAGTGGACAAACTTTCTGGTGTATGGCTGCCTGCACCTGACTGCACAGGAAGTTTGAACTGTCAGGTATGCAGGACGCTCCTACTACCAGCAATGCTGTGCTACAGGGTCCAAGCCAGCAGCCATACCTGGGGTCTACACTGATTGAATTGGTTGCTGCCTGCACAGAGAATCAGAGAAAAACCATACAAAGGGCAAAATGAGTTTAACTGCAACTTGGCCAAACAGAGAAGACAACTAACTGACTTGCCTTCCCCAAGCCCAAAGAAGCATCACAATTTACAGAGAACAAAAGCCCAGAAGTGCACATATGTAGATCCTGCCAGGTTGTGGGTCCAGGGGAAGCTGGCTGGAAAAATAGATTGCACACCTGGTTTGCCAGGCTCTGTGAATCCTTGGCACCAGGGGTCAGAGCTAAGGGGACAGCTTCAGTCTCCACCCTCAGCAGGCAAGGGTGGCCTGCGGGACAATGGGCTGAGTCTGGGGAAAAAACCAAATTGAGGCTTCTCTAAAAATTCCTCTTTAGCGGCACCCCATTACACTTTTGCACCCCTCTCCTGTCACAGAGCTCTCTGGGCACTCACTCTCCAGGGCTACAGCACCAAAGGTGGAAGATGAAGGCACAAGGGGCTGGGGAATTTAGCTCAGCAGCATAAGAACCTGCCTTGCAAGCAGGCAGTCGTGAGTTTGATCCCTGGTACCGATAAAAAAACCAAAAAACAGACATTTCATTCTGCCACACAAGTTAGGAACAATTTTGTTAGGAGAAAACATTACTGTGCTTATACCTTTTGAACAAAACTCAACCATCACAATAAAAAATAAGCTTATGATTTGATATGATCACTGCATGATCTTCTATAATTAATAATATCTCTTAATTGTTCATTTGTCCTGATATCACTGCTTAATAAAAGTAACAAATATAAACAAATCATAAGAGAAAAACAGAAATTCTATTCATTTAACTTATTCTTCAGTTGACTTCTAAAAAGTCAGCTTTATTGGATTATAGATAAATTAGATAGAAATTAATATGCAGTCAGAGGGATATAGGGGTTTCAAGGAAGCCAGCGCAAAAAATAAAGACATCAAGGCTGTGGTTGGAGGCAAACATGAAGAAGACTAGGCCTCCAGATGGAGTTGCACAGCCAGGTCCCCAGGCCTTCCTCAACAGTAGCCTAAGATAATACTGTAATTAGCAACAGCTGGTCCCATGAGCTCAGACAAGCATCAGGCACAGAGGTGGGTGACCAGAACAGCTGGACCCATCCCTTTCCAAGTATTCCATTGTTCTGTCCATGATCCCATGCTAGGAGATGTTTCCTTACTGGATAACTGTTTAGCTAAGTGACCACACTTACAATCCTACAGGCTGACTGTGGTGTGACCCACAGTGTACCCACACTGTGACCCTGCTGTGTAAATCACTGTGTACACTCTGCTATGTAAGTCTCGGTGGCCACCCACTTGAGATCCCTCCTGGAAATCCAGGAGCTATTCCTATTTCCACTGAGACGCTCCTGACCCCCTCTAGTTCACGACTTCATTCCTCCATGTTGTTAGTTATTTTCCCCATGACATCATTAGAGACCTAGTCAGGTTGTAGAATACCAGACTGTCACAAAGTGTGTAAAAGTGTCATCAAAGTGTATAAAAGAGGGGGCTGCACCCCAAAAGTAGCCTATCATTATGCCCACCCCAAAACTCTCCAGAGAAACAGACTGATCAGTCTGGAGGTCAGAGCATGGTAGCTCTTTCCTCTAAGCCTAAGGAGATGGAAAATCCCTTGGGGCTCCCTGAGACATTTGCAAAGATCTGCCACGTAAAAACCACCATCATCACTGCCCTTCTGCTCCAGGTCCCCAGTACCTTGTGGCATCTTCTAGAGGCTGGGTGACCTACGCTGTTGCGTCCAGCAAGAGCAGGAGCAGACAGGAGAATCTACCTGTCTTCTCTCTAGTCAGACTCGAAAGCCACTGCAAACAATGTGAAACAACACCCCTATTCTAATGCTTTTTTTTTTTGCAGTACTGAGGATGGAACTCATGACCTTGTGCTTGCCAGGCAGGCACTTATGCTACTGAGCTAAATCCCCAGCCCTATTCTAATGCTTTTGAGAAATAGGAGTTGTTATTCATGAAATATGTGACTCATGTTGAATAACATGTGTAGTGAGTTTGTTTTTAACAAATAAGTAAAAATAACTACGATGCGACATGTATTTGTACTAACTCCCTACAATGAATGTGTCCATCGTGTATCACAAACATGTATGAATAAAAAGATATAATTTTTTTCATTTTAAAGAGGATAAAATTAAACACAATCAAAACAGAACAAAACAGAACATAAGAAAGCAATGTAAGAGACATAAATTTCAAAGCAAGACAACCAGAGATCTTCACTATCTATCATGTTGTCTCTTGTTTTCTTCCAATTAGTTGTCCATATCTTCACATACAGTGAATTCATACAAAACAACATAGTATAAAACTGATCCAAACAGGATGATGAAGGCATTTTAGGTCTTCAAGACCAGACAATAAATAGGGAAGTCAACAAAGGCTATCATAGTGTCTCTAATTCTCTTCAAAATAGCTGTCCACACCTTCACATATGTTGAAATTAAACAAAACAAAACAGACTAAAATCACTCTGAACAAAGAATAATAGTATTGTTGGATTTTACAACATGACACTATAGAGTCAGCACTGGGTGCTGTAGTGTCTCTTTTTCTTCAAAGTAATTGTTCATTTCATCATGTGTTATGCAATCAGTTGTCACAGACTGTTTATAAGTTCTACGCATGCATGTATCTCTATGTGTATATCTATCCTTTCTGTATTAGAAGGAAAAACAAAACAAAGCAAGATAAAACAAAACAAATTCCTAGAAAAATATGAAATGAAAAAATCATATAACACCACAGTACAAGGTAATCTACAATGGTTGCTATGATGTCTCTTGTTATCTTTAATAGAATTGTCTATATCGCCAAGCATAGTATAATTGAATATAGCAGTACATAATAATGTTAATAAAAATGAAACATTGGAGACTGCTGGTCACTAGCAAAAAGAGCTTCATTATGTTTGTGTTATGCCTAAATTATATGACCAAAGTACCTGTAACACAGACATACTGTTCTGTATGTGTTTTTTATAGGGTGACCTAATTGATATGTTAATCAATGCTCCCCTCTGTAAAGAATTGTAAATCCCTGGAAACCTGACCTAATTAATATGTTAACCATCGCTGCCCTCTACAAATAACAGATGTTATCTAAAATTGAGTGCTAAGGTAAGGTGACAAAGGATTGTTAATTACTACTAGACTTCTCTGTCCTCTGCAAAGGGAACCAAAGGTCTTCCT